GATCTCAAGAGAGTCACCATGCCTCGTGGTCAGAAGAGTAAGCGCCGTGCCCGTGAGAAACGCCAGCAGGCCCGAGGGCAAAGCCAGGCTGCCCAGGGTGCTCAGGCCACTGCAATGGAGGAGGAAGGACCCTCTTCTTCCTCCTCTGTTTTGGAGGACACCCCCCAGAGGTCTTCTGTTGAGGGTGTTTTGCAAGAGTCTAAGGAAGCCACTGCTCCTGCTTCAAATGCTTTGTCCAAAATATCTGATGTGGATGCCAAGGGCCAAGATCAGAAAAGCCCCAGCCTTGCCCAGGATCTATGTTCCACTGAGAAGCCCAAGAGAGATCTGTCCAGAAAGATACGCATGTTACTTCTGTTCTTGGTAGACAAGTATAACATGAAAGAGCCTCTTATGAAGGCCGATATGCTGAAGGTTGTCAACAAAAAGTTCCAGAAGCACTTCCCTGAGATCCTGAGCGAAGTCGCGGAGCGCATGAAGTTGTTCTTTGGCCTTGAATTAAGGGAAGCTAAGTCCAGATGTAACGCCTATGAGCTCATCAAGACAGGAGATGTCACCAAACGAAGCAGTTTGAATGGAGGCCTGCAGTTGCCTATGACAAGTCTGCTGATTACTGTCTTGGGTGTGATCTTCGTGAACGGTAACCGAGCCTCTGAAGAATCCATCTGGAAGTTCCTGAATATGCTGGGAATCTATGCTGGGAGGATGCACAATATTTTTGGAGAGCCCAGGAAGCTGCTGGTGTGTGATTTTGTGCTGGCGAGATACCTGCAGTACCAGCAGGTGCGAAAGAGTCGTCCTCCACGCTATGAATTCCTGTGGGGTCCAAGGGCATGTGCTGAAACCACCAAGATGAAAGTTCTGGAGTTTTGGGCCATGCTGAAAGGTGTGAATCCCTGGGATTTCCCTGGTCCCTATGAAGAGGCTTTGAGAGATGAGCAAATGAGAGCCCGACGGCTAGTTGCATCCATATTCGGTTCTACTGCTTACACCACTAAGAGTTCAGGCCCAAGTCTAGTGGCTTCACCAGAATCTAGTGAAGTGGGAGAAGATTCTTCACAGTAGTTGACAGGGCTTCCAAGTAGTACATTCAGAAGTAGCTTAGAGGAAACACAATATATTATTTTCTGTTGTGTACTAGTAACTTGTAGTTTGTTCTCTCTCAAATGTTGTGCCTTTTGATCTAAATTTTATTTTGCTTCTGAATGTAAGGTCATGAATCGTGTTTTTGTTGTATATCAGATATAAGAGTTAGCATTGCCAGCTACAATGACTTGAAAAACTTCAACATTCTGTTTATGTTTTAAGAGTAGGTAGATTGGCATTGAGAATAACACCAGATTACGGTATTTAGGATCACCGGTGAAAGGAAAAAATGATAATTATAGAAGTTTTTTGGGTGCCTTATGCTTTGTAATCTTACTTGTTTTGTAAAATTAAAGTTATATACACACACACAACTTGATTTGATTAAAATATTTAGAGGTTGTTTTGTGTTTTAGTTGGAGCACTGCATATTCTCTGAAATCTAATTGATAAGAAATAAAGAAAATTTTAAATTGTGATGCAGCAGGTCGTCTTTTCTGAGTTCAAAATAGCCAGATGCTCACTGCCATTCAGTAAACAAAATATTTCCCCACCTGTTGCAAAATGCCTCTCTTATACTACATACATTCCCAGAATCCAACAAGCTAGGTCTGTCAGTCTCACTTTACAGATGAAGAACTTGTATAAGTCTCAAGTTCAAGAGGTTCATAAGTAGCATTGCTGGACCAGACCCCAAGCAGAATCTTACTGGACCACAGATTTCCAGTCCTTCAAGCCAGAGGCAGGCTGTGTGTCCCTTAACACTATTTTTCTCTTGTCACAAAAAATGTATCTATGTGGTTATTGAAGCCTGCCAAATTAGAAGTATATGAAAATAAATTAGAATTAGGCATCAGAAAAAAATAAGAACCCCAAACCTTTGCCATTATATAATTTTGTTTCATCACAAAGTTGTCAGAGAGTAGAACACCCCCTTAGGGCTTCTAAGACTGCAAATCTTTACAGGAACCAGGCAATCTCAGCTTTCTCCTGTGGACGGTCTGCTGGGTTTGAACCACAGAGCTTGCAGCTAAAAATCCAATATATTATAGAGCCACCGGGAAAGTTAATATTGGTGGCAAGATTGTTGTCTCCATATGGAATGTCAGAGAACCTCAAAAGATGCAAAATGATGCTGTGGAGCTCCTGCTTATAGAAATAAAGTATTTTAGAACACAGTTGCATAAAGACTAAATCTGGGAGGTGAGAAGGATGTGTGTTTTCACTGAAGGCCCACTTGTCATGTCTTGTGCTGCATTCCTCTAGGACAAGCACACACTCTCTGCAAGGTATGACGTAGGGAAATGACTCAAAGGTTGCAGCAATGTGATATTTCATTAGAAGCCTTTCATTAAAGGTAGGGAGCCAAGATGAGGACCTTAGTGAGTTAAGAAAGAGCAGCATGAAGGATGTAGGGATCCTAGTGACCTAGATGGTCCTTTAACGACCTAGATGGTCCTAGGCAGGGCTATTAGATGGGCAATCGTGCATTTATTCTCACGCACTCTCAGAGATGCAAAATTAAGTATAAGCTAGTGTCTTCCAAAATGGGTAATAGAACCCCCTGGGGGTGCTAGTCAATCTAGGGGTGTGGGCTGCAAGAGCAGTTACCTACACTTGATCCTGTCTTATGAGCTATTGTGCAAACATTTTTAATTGCTGGGGTGGGGGACTCCGTTTTGTTTGCCTTCCCCGCCCTGAATAAGGGGTGGTCAAATAAGTTTGGAAATCTGAATAAGGGGTCGTCAAATAAGTTTGGAAATCTATGGTCTAAGCAGACATACAAGCTTGCTAGGGATCAAGGAGTGGATGATGAGTGAGGACTGAGGGGGAATTCTTCCCTACAACATGGGTGCTCATATGTCCGGGCACACACTGTCAGATCTCGGAGAGGCCAGGTAAGTCAAGCCAGATGCCACGACCCCTGGCTTCCCTCTTTAAAGGCTCGGCCCCTTTGCACATTTCAGGAATTTGATGACTTTAGCATGAGGTCATCAGTCTCTGGTCAGCCAAGGGTAGACATCCAGAATTTTTCTGCTTTCAAGGTGAGCACCCTGAAATGAGAAGTGAGGGGAACCGTCTATCTCAGAACAGTGGGCACTTGACAAAGTCCGGTAGGCCTCACAAAGCCAGATCCAAATTGTCTGGTGACCTCTAGTTTTCATGACCTCTGGTAGGTCCTCTCGGGTAGATGAAGGTCTTGGTATATCTGTAGAGACCCACAGTCTGCAGAGGGACAGGATCCTGACAGTCCTTAACTGAATTCACAGTGTGGACACTGAATACTGATAGATTCCTCCCCACCTCACTGAGGGGGTTGCACAGAGCCCCGCCTTGTGGTCAGCCCTGGAAAGCCACCTCTAGCAAGCTCCCCACTTTAGAGCCTCATGGAGGTTAGAAGCTGGCTCAGGTTGGAAAGCAGGTCGATAGAGGCAGGAGTCACGAGCTCGTCTAGATATTGAGGTGAGGATTTGGAGGGTCAACTGAGGGGAGCCCTGATGCTAGAAGAGTGGGATTCCAGAGAACCAAGCCACTCTTCCAACCCTCAGAAGGCCCAAGTCGTGGGGGCTGGGTATGACTCATTCTGAAAGCTGCTTTGGGCGTTCCAGGAGGGCTTGAAGACGTCTGCAGGGTGGGCCCCAATCCAACTATGTGAACACCCCAACCTCTCAAGAGTTTACTTCAGAGGACAGCGCTGAAGCTATAGTTCAAGGAGAGGGGCATGTCTGATCAAAGCACACAGGAGCAAAATTAGAGGGAAGGAGAAAGCGTGGAACACATCCTGGCCCACCAAGCCCCGAGGATGATATTCCTGCCCAGAGCAGCCAATGCACAGAGAGGTCCATAGGGCCAGCCCAGCAATGAGACACAACATCCCTCACTGATCCATAGCCCTACGAGGGGCAACACTGGAGATACAGTCCAGGAAGTGTGCCTGATCTGACCCTAATATACCGGGGTGAAATGCTAAGAGTGTGCAAGAGAGCAGCAAGGTGAGCAGAGAAATCAAGTCCCTGGGAATGCCAACAATAGACTTCCAGGCCAGGGCATGGCACCCCATCAGACTGGAATAGAAAACACTCCTAAAGGTCAATAAACATACCTGGAACTATTTATAAGCTTTTCTTTCTTTTTTTTGGTGGTAGTTTGTTGTTGCTGTTGTTTGGTTTTTTAGTTTTCTTTTGTTTTTGTTTTTTGGGGGTTTTGCTTTAGTTTTTGTGCTTATTATTTTCTCTGCATGTCTATCTAGATAAGACAGGTGGAATAAACAATCCAGAGGAGAAAACAATGGAACCGATGGTTCTAGGGGGACATGGGAGAGGGGTAGGTGGGGGAAAGAAAGTGGGTGTTAACAAACCCAGGGACAAGGCAATAACAAGTAATCTAAAATCGATGGCGAGGAGGGCATAAGATGCCTGGCAGGGCTTGATCAAGGACAACGTAACCGAGAGGAATTACGAAAATCCGAATGAAGGCCATACATGACAGTAGAAGGCCGTTCATGACAGGAAGAAAGCAAAAAAAAAAAAAATAGAGGAAAGAACTAGGAGACAGGACATTTATAGAAGTCTAAATATAGCCATGTACATATGTAAATATATTTATATATAATGATAGGGAAATAGATCTATGCACATATATTTATATGTTAAGTATTAAGATAGCAGGCAGGCACTGGACCTCTACTCAAATACTCCCTCAAAACAAGAACACTTTGTTCTAATAACTTGGCCTTCCATGATGCTCGTTCCTGACAAGATCACTGAAGACAAAAGTGGTGCATAAGCAAATGTGGTGAAAAAAGCTGATGGTGCCCCACTATCAAAAGATATAGCATCTGGGGTCTTAAAAACTTGAAGATAAACAAGCGGTCATCTAGCTGAGAAGCAACAAAGCCCACATGGAAGAAGCACACCAGCCTGTGTGATCATGAAGTATCAATGGGATCAGGTATGATACATCAGAGACCCAGAACACAAAATCATGTGAATGTGAATGAGGGGGAATGCCGAGTGGAGACCCAAAGCCCATCTGTAGACAATTGGACATCCCCTTACAGAAGAGTCACAAGGAAGAGATGAGCCAGTCAGGGTTCAGTATAGTACCAATGAAACATAGAACTTTCCTCTAGTTCTTTAATGCTCCCCCCCCCATCATGACCCCAATTCCACCTTACAAATCCAGTTGGACCAGAGCATGTACACAGGTACAGAAAATAGCTGGAAACATAGGGAATCCAGGACAGATAAACTCCTCAGGACCAATAGTGAGATTACTGATACCGAGAGGGGAAGGGGAAGGTGGGAGGAGAGAGGGAGAGCCGATCACAAGGATCTATATATAACCCCCTCCCAGGGGGACAGACAGCAGAAAAGTGGGTGAAGGGAGACATCAGTCAGTGTAAGGCATGAACAGTCATAGTGATTTATAAATTATTAGGGGTTCTGGAGGGAGGGAGGGTGGGGGAAGGAGGGAAGGGAAAAATGAGCTGATATCAAGAGTTCAAGTAGAAAGAACATGTTTTGAGAATGATGATGGCAACACATGTACAAATGAACTTGACATAGTGGATGTATGTATGGATTGTGATAAGATCTGTATGAGTCCCCCCAAAAATGATTTAAGAAAGAATATAAAAGGCCTGGTCCCAAATCAGGCAAGAGCCGGAACCTTTAGTCAGGACAAAAGACACTCCTCCCCTCCGAAACCAGGAATCAGCAAAGAGTACTGTCATTGTGAGTCCTGGGAGGCTTGTGCAGTTATCACGCTAACGCAGCTTCTCATTTCCTCCAAACTTTGTGTCAGGGATGTGCAGACCTTTTAGGCTGGAAGACTCCGGTAGTCTGAGGGAGGAGTCCTAGACTTCCCCTGAGTGAGAACCACCAGGGCCACTGATCACAGAACCATGGAGTCCCATAGTCTCACCCCCTGCTACCAAACCAGGGAAGCCGTCAGCAAGGGGAGCTAATGGTGTTCACACATTTTTTATGCCTCCCTGGTTTTAGGAATGTGAGGATTAGCAGAGGGTGGATTTCCAAGTTGTGCTAGCTGTCACTATAAAGACCCTAAGAAATGTGGGGACCACCATGGATAACAAAGTCACTCCCACATAGTCCCATACTGACATCCCTGGGAGACCCTAAGCATATATACTAGCCAAATGACTCCTCATTTCCTTCTCAGGGACTAATCTCAGTTCAGCAGGAGGAAAAGGCTAATCTACCGTCATGGAGTTGACCCTTAAGGTGACTATATCGGATAGCATAGAACAGCCTCTCTGGGATTTTGGGACTGCAAATCTTTATGGGAAGAGATTGCCTCCTCTTTCTCCTGCGGTGGTTTTCAACATATGACCTTGGGGTCCAACACATGAGCCTCAAGGAAGCAGAACCCCTCTAACCTCAAAACTCACTCTTCATCAAAAGTGGCGACAGAGAACCCACCGATCAGGATAAGATAGTCAGTAATAGTACATC